TAATCTGCAACAAACTTCTCCCACACTCTGAGACACTTCTGAAATCCACTCCATAGAGTGGATAGAAATCCACTCTGAAATCCATAGGTGATACCCAAAATATGCCCAGTTACATTAGCAAAACACAGAAGCATTTTATGCACTCTGACTTGCAACCACAGTATTTTATTGTAATAGTCAAAATCAGATAGAAAAAAAGAGCACGTCAGCTGACATAGGTATCTTGTTACAAAGCTACACATAGACCAACAAAAAATGAAACAAATATCCTTCTTATGTAAAGATGGAAGATCCCAAATAATATTGTCTTTTTCTTTAAGAAAAGCATCTCTATTTTCATATTTGCTCACAAAGCAAATCATGCAGGAAGGATAAAGTTACTTCAAAAAGTTATGCACAAATATTAAAAATCTTTATCCTTAGTTCCAAAAACTGAATTCCTCTAACCAACACAGGTTTCTGTAACCATCAGCAGAAACAGAAGGCACCTCATCTTTCGGTTAGCCCTCATCAAAAATGAGAAATTGAGATCCTAAAAGGAATACCTGTTGGTATGGAGTAACAATTTCCAACTCTTAATCTTCCTTTATATGATTTAATTCCTTGGGATGCTGTGTTTTAGAATCAGTGTTGTAGTTTCCATGCTATTCAGATACTTCTGCGTATCAGTTAGGAATGTCATAGGTATAAACTATCACAACTAAGTGACCCTGGCTATTAGTATATAATATACATCACATAAAATTATTAAAATAACTAGCAGCTAATTTACCTCCTGCTATTCATAAAAGGCCCCATGATTTCTAGGCAAACAGAAAATGAGATGCCATGTAGGAAAAGAATACAATAAAGAAATTTCAGATACATGCAATTTTCCAGCTTCAATTCATGATGGTTGAAAGAGAAGAAATTTGAAAACTTTCTAGTAACGTGACATATTGTAAAGGGTCTTGTATTTGTAATCAGAACACATGCTTCAAGAAGCAGATTTAAAAAACCCTATGTAACAACTTCACCCACTAACTGCCCTCCACCTTTTCAAATTTGTCCACTTCCAAACAGATTTAGACCAAGAAAAATTTGTCTAAGGAAGAGACAAGAAAGCAAATATTTGAATCCAATACCTTGACTGTTAAAGGCAGTTTGTTAGGAATAAAACTAAAGTTCTTCAAAAAGTTCAAAGGAAATAAAATCCCAACTAGCAAAATCTTAGCTAATTAGAAAAGCTTGTGTTATGGTCATCTGCGGGCTGCGCAGAGAGCCAGATATAGAGTTTAATGTATTGTAACAGAGGATAAGAGAGAGAAGAAAGTGGGCAAAATAAGATGATATGCTCCACCACTCAAATACTGATGCAAAAATTCACATTTCAAAGTTTGGGTTACGTTGCAGTTAGCATTCTTGTCACCTGGCTTAGAACTATAGAAGATACTATATATATATAACGTATCCTTGTTCAGTGAGGATATAATCTTGCGATTGTCATACAAAGAAAAAAAGAAAACAGCTCAATTTTTTAACCTGATAAAAGCTTTGAAATGATTTTTCCTAGACATAGCAACTTACAGCAGCAGAACAGCATGTCCAAGGACATTACAAAACCAGAATTTTGGAATATGCATGCCAAGCTGGGTCCAAATCACAAAGTCTAGAATATGACTAACATTGTCAGTTGAGGTATCTGAAAGTCTGAAAGCCAGACCTTCAAAGAAAACACCAGACTGCCTTAAATAGCATGAAATTCAGATTATTAGAATATGGATGCTTTATTTGACTTCTAAATTCCCAGGATTTGCTGAGGCCATATTTCAAAACCTTTGTCTGCAACAACAGTATCTAAAAAGAATGAGGTTTTTTTAATGAAAGTTTGAAATTACAAGTATATGATTCCAGCAGATGGGAACTTGTCAAAATGTTAAACAGTGTGAGACCTGAAATAAGCCTGAAAGAAACATTCAGTTGTCTAAAGCTTGAAGCTCTGCCTACAGGTCTTCTGGTAGAGGACCACTGCTAATACACTGCATTAGGAAAGCACCAGAGACCTGGTCACTAAAAACAACCATCTGGGTGGCAAAGTATCATTGGCCCAGTGGGTCTTAGCGAACCAGACACGCAGGAAGGGCAGCTCTCAGTGCGATATACCACATTTACTTAGTTATGATACAGTTCTCTCAAATTTCATGAGATTCTGGACAAGATTAGCCAGTTAATTTAAGAATTGAACATATGTTCTTGGCTAAAGAACATTCAAAAAAAAAAAAAATCTACCAAGTTTGCCAGTCCTCTTGTGGGAACAGAGGATATAGCAGCGTTTTTCCATTCTATAAAACAAGTCCTCTAAATATTTACTAGTCTTGTATTTTCTACATATGATAAGATCCCAAGCAAAGGCATGTCCCTAAAGCAAGCTAGGAACATTCACTGTGTATGTAATAGGAGTATTAAAGGATCCAGATGTGAATTAGAAAAACCACTGTCTATTACAGCTGAATTTCAAACTCCTGGAGCAAGATCAAGCAGGGAAGTTGTGGCTTATCCCAGAGCACCACCCACGCGAATCTCCCAGGAGTTACCCAACGGCAGCAAAACTAACGAGGAAAATGCAAAACAAAAATATCACATCAGATCACATTCCCAGGGACTGCCTGGGCAAGAGTCTCTACAGCTTCTCAACCTTAAAAATAGATTTGTGTACACGTACAGCCACGCATACCATAGAATTCTAATTAACAAACTGATTTTCTTTGCCTCTAAGATAGCATGAATGAGGGAAGAATGTTGAGGAATACTTACTTATTGTGCAAGATGAAAACCAAAGTTTCTCTTTTAATAGTTCACTCTTGCACTCCAAATATCACCAAGTGAAGTTTCACACAGCATTACAGTGTTAGCAGAAACCAGCAACCAAATTTCAGCAAAACGCCCTTAACTTTGAAAGGCTGCACGAGCAGCGCTGCATTTACCTGAGGCAGCACAACCAAACACGGGGGAAAAAAACAACTTCTATCATTTTTGGAGGCCCTATTTTCTACTTAAGAAGCGGCAGCACCAAGCTAAACGCAGGCTGCTGTTTTTAAGCTGTACACGGGTACTTCGTTTGAATTTACGAGCCGCTTGTGAGGAATTTATCTCCTCACAGAGAGCCCGCGGGCGGGAAGGCCGCCCCGGGGCGGCGCGGCGCGCGCTGCCGAGCTGCGCCTGCGCAGT